CCACACGAGCGCAGGGGGGAGGGGCGGCATGGGGCTTGACTTGGTTCCCGGATCGGCGCCCTGAGGACGGATCGGGCGACTGAGGGGTTGTCTGGAGGTGATGTGTCCCCGAAGCGTGGCCACCGTCCGCCGGCCCTCCCTGGCGCCCCCGGCGCCCCCGCGCCCCGGTCAGGTCGCTGGGCGCTTATCTACTGGCACCTGCCAAGACATGCGGCTCTCTGCCCTGCATCAAGCCGGTGCACGAAGTGAAGGGGAGCTGTGGAGGCGCACGGCCGTCCCCGGTGCAAGAGCAGAAATGGACCAAAATGGCGGAGCGTTCCTGGCAGGCATTCGGCCCCGAAGGCCGAGGGCACCCGGCGCATGGCGGGGCCCTCGGCGTCGGGTGGCTCTCATGCCGTCCTGGCTTTCTGAGTGCCTGAGCGGAACCGCGGGGGCAGGGGGACGGCGAGCGGGGGAAGGGGGGCAGCGGGGGCACATTAATTCCCGGTCCAAGTGGCACACATGTTCGAGACACGCCGATGCTCGCTAGGCGGGCTGCCTGCGGGCCCTCGCGCTATACCCCGCGCTCTTTGCGCGTACCCCCCCATCCCCGGCTGTGGCTCCGCCTCCGCCGCCATGAGCCTCCATCTCGGCCCCCTTGCGCCACGATGGGTGTTTTTGTCAGACCGTAGTACGAATGCCACCATGGGTGTTGGCCTTCCGCCAGACGGGTCACGCCTGGCCAGGGCCCAAGGCGCAACGCCCCGAAGACCCGGGTAAACCACGTAGCGAGGGAAGCACACACTCATACACGCGCGCTTGACGCCAGATGGAGCCTCCGCCATGAAAGGACCCCGCTTGGGCTTTTGTTTGCCGCCACTCGGTCCATCTGGCGGGGGGGGGGGGCCTCTTTCGGCCCGGATGCCTGGCGCGGGCAAGCTGACGAGGGCAGGTGGCCGGGGGAAGCCGGGCAAATGAGGGGGAGAGGCGTCAGGCATCTGAGAAGCCACAGGGGGACGCATGTTCCCGGAGGCGCATTTAAAATGCCCCAGACCCGGCCTCGTGTCAGGCGATGGGGCTTTTCCGAGGCTCACGCATCGAAGGCCAGGCCGACCTCCCTGGTGGGAGGGGCAGAGGCCGGGTCTGGACGGGAGCCGCCAGGGTGGGAGACGAGAGGCGTGCGATTTTGGCCGTGTCTCGCACGCCAAGATCCCGCGGGAGTGCCACTTGGGGTCATCTTCGCTTGCGCACGCTGACCTTCCCACCAAGGGGTGGGGGAAAAAGTCAAGTGAGAGAGAGAGTGAGAGAGAGAGAGAGAGAGAGCCCGAATGTCCGGAATCGGCGAAGGGCTGGTAGATTGCCACCGCTTCTGCTGCTGCTCCTGCTGCTCCTGCTACACTCATGGGGAGGGAGGGGATCGATGCGTCCACTTGGCCCCCCCCCCCCCCATTCAGGGTCTTCCCAAGAGTGGTCAGCCTCCGTGTGCTGTGTCTAGGCTCCGGGGCTGGCGCGACTGCCTGGAGCAGGGGGGCAGGCAGACAAGGGGCCTACCAGCCGGTGCGGCAACATGTGGCTTTCTCAGTGCGCCGGTCGTGCCGGGATCAGGCCGCTCGGCATGTTCATCCGCATGCGCGCGCACCTTGGCGGTCAGGCGTCGGTGTGTCGTGGTGCCAGTCGTTCACGCCACGGTGAGCAGCCCAGGTCATCCGGCCGACCGTCTGCAACCGCACAACTCTCGGCCGGCGCAATCACTAGCCTGCTGGCTGGATGACCCGACTCGAGAGGGGTTGACACGCAGGGGTCCCTGTGAGCACTCGTGCGCATGCTCACGCACATGCAGATGTGCGTGAACATACGTGCGTGCGTCCATGCTGACAGAAGTAGGTCGTTCACTTGCATGCAGCATATGCCCCATGTTGCATCTGTCTGCTGTTGCACCCACCGCGGCACCTCTCGGCCACCATGTCCCGAGGTCCAAGGCAGCATGGACCAGCCAGATGTGTGCCAAGATACCGGCAATGCAACCGCCACTGGCGCGGAAAGGCCTCGCCCTCGGCGAATGGCCGACCCCGAGGGGGAAGGCACAGGAAGGAGTGGAAACTTCAAAGGGCAGGCTTCAGCTTGCCGTGCCCCTCGCGCCGGTGCATTTCCTCCTCCCAAGCTCCCCACCACGCCACTGATAATCCCACCCGCGCATCTGCCATCCCCCCTGTGCCCGTCCTGTGCCATCCTCTAGTCATCTAGTCTGGCCGTTTCTCCCTATCGCTGTACCCTCCCTTTCTCTCTCTCTCTCTCTCTCTCTCTCTCTCTCTCTCGCTGTCACTCTCGCTCTCTCAGTTGGTCGCTCGGTCGGTGGCTCCCCCTGCCTCCCTTCCCCCTCTTCGCTCCCGTTTCCAGCGTCCTGGCTACAGCAGCCGCGCCCGGCATACGTGCTTGTGCGCGTGCGCGCGCGCGTTCGCCCCCGGCCCCGTCCTATACCACCCCTCCTTTCGCC